GTGGGCGAACCTCTCACCCGTGTGAATTTTGACACGGCACAAGCAAGCAAGCAAAGAGAAGCGCTCGCTGACTTGCTTCGGGCTTGCGGGTTTTGTTGGTTCTTTTTTTTCTTCGCCCGTGCGTGCGTGCGTGTGTGTGTGTGTGTGTGGGCGGCTGATTGCGGGTTTTTTGCGTTCCCCACCACCACCACCACCGCTCGCTGCCTCCCTCACCAGCTGGTAGGGAGAAGGAAGCAACAACAAACAACAACCTCCTTTCTCCTCCATCCACCCACCCTATTTGTCTGGGCCATCACCCCAGCAGCAGCAGCAGCAGCAGCAGCAGCAGCAGCAGCAGCAGCATCTCTTGTTGGTGGGTGTGTAGGTCACCCTGTTTCGGCATCCGCCACGACTTTTTGCTTGCTTGTCGGCTGACCGCCCGTCGACGTCATCCGCCCTTTCTTTCCCTCTGGCATCGATCGCCGGCACCTACTTGACTTGCGGCCACAATCCTCACACCCAATACGACCGCCATCGGCACACACACCGCAGTGAGCGCACATGGATGTCAAGCACCACCAACATTGAAAACCTCACATTCGCTTCGCTCCCCATATCAGGCCTCTCCATCACTCACAATCCTGATCCTCATCCACATCCACCAGTCCAGCCGCGACCACGCTGCAGCACGCGTTTCCGCACCAGCAGCACAATCACTCAACACCATCCTTGGCAGTTTCCCCTCCTCGATCCATTCAACCCAACACATCGCTTTTGCTGTGCAGTGTTGCTCAAAGGCACGCGGTAAGGCGAGAAGGCGGGCCAAGTAGCACCCGCGCGCAACCAGCGTGAGGTGTTGTTACACACCAAAACATCACACTTCTCCAAGCACAGCCCCCCGCGCCCAGCAGCACGCCACAGGTCGGCATGGGCGCGGGTCACACCCCAAGCTCACAGCGATCATCAGCCGCAACAACCGCGCAGCTGTCCACCCCATCCTCACAATCACAACAACCACAACCACCGGCATCACAAAGCATAGCACGCACGCCTTCCAGCGCCGCTCCAGCGTCAACCACACCAAACAACAACAACAGCAACAACAACAGCAATAGCAACAGCACCACACCCCTGGCCACAACAGCAACAACTACAACAACAGCAGCAGGGCCGAGCAATGCCATTGCCTCAACGTCAAAGGCCAGCGGTGGCAGCAACAGCATACCAGTCACTCCGAGCACGTCCACCACTGCCTCCAGCTTGAAACAGCAACCACCAGCTGACCGCATTGTGCCGAAGCGCTCCTCCACGTCCTCGCCTGCATCATCCTCCTCACCCTCTGCCTCCCCTCCGTTCATTGACAAGCAACAACAACAACAACAACAACAACAACAACAACAACAACAACAACAACAACAACAGCAACAACAACAACAACAACAACTACAACAACAACAACAACAACAACTACAACAGCAGCAGCAACAACAACAACCTGGTCAGCCCACCTACAGCACCGCCCCATACACCACCTCGCAATCTTCCACTCACCCTGCGTCAACAACAGTGATGCCAGCAGTCACAGCAACCACGCCAAACACATCAATGACACGCACATCAACTTCATCAACCACACCCAGCACATCGATATCGACGCCAGCCGGAACAGTGCCCGCTTCACGCGCATATGCGCCTCCCACGCCCATGCCCGCGACCACCATCACCACCACCTCATCCGCCACTGCATCCAACACATCATCTATGCCGCGTAGCACCTCCTGGCCCGCGCCTGGCAGCGCCACGGCGATCCCCAGCACCGCTGGGACAGCGTACCCTTCGTCGACAACACCGTATTCGCGACAGGGCGTCTCACCATATGCTCCGAGCACCGCACCAGCCACCTCTACCCCACTCTCCAGGCCCGGCAGCGCCACAGCCCCTTCAACAGCACCTCCTCCATCGCAGGCAGCGACAACCCCGTATCCGCCGTACGCCGCACGCGCCTCATACGTGCCCACCACCTACGCCCCAACCAACTCAACCGCCACCCCGGCCACGCAAGCGTTACCATCAGCCCCGACAACAGCCCCGCCACAACAACCCCAGTTATCAACAACCGCAGCACCAGGCAGGGGCCCACCACAGCCCGCGCGCATGGGCCAAGCCACCATGCCGCCATCCACAGCGGCCCCGCCAACCGCCACCTACTACCGCGGCGCACCAATGGTGTGCACCAACCCCGCCTGCAGCTGCCACCTCAGCTACGCCCGTGGTGGTACTGCCGCGCCACCACCGCCCCCGTTGTCGTCATCAACGGGCGCTCCGCTCGCCTCTTCTGCGCCGGGCACCGCGGGCCCAGCCGTGTACAGCCGCGTGGGCATGGCCTCACGACCGCCCCCGCCACCAGCACCAGCAGCAGCAGCAGTGGCATCCACACCAGCGGGTCCCCCCATGCCGTACAGTAACGCCTCCAGCACTCCTGCAACTTCTGCCGCCACCCCACCGGCGCCACGCCGCAACTCAACTGCACCCACCACACCAGTGCCCGCCTCCCCGTCCACGTATGCCACCACAGCACCCGGCACGCCCCGCGCCGTCACCGCCATGACGTCCACATCCACGACAATGACAGCAGCAGCATCGCCAACAGCACCACTGACCACCACGACCAATGGATACTCGGCGGCGCCGCAGAACCGCTCCCGCCCGCCCTCTTCCCTGGGCACAACGAGCGTGACAGCGTCGCCTGCCCCGCAGCCGCGGACAACCAGGCCCGTGCCCAACATGGGCGCCGTGGGCAAGCCAGCACCGGGCAACACCGCCTACGCGCCGTCTGCACGCTATGCATCCAAGCCGCCGCCAACGGCTGCGTCGTCATCGGCCTCCATGCCAGCGACGCCGGTGGCGGGCCGCACCATGTCCTACTCGTCAGCGTCGTCGGCGTACAACGCGTCTGTTGCCGGCCGCCCGTACGCCCGCCACCCAGCGCCACCACCGTCAACAACCGCCGTCTACTCCCCACGACCAACGGCCGGCAGCAACACCCCTGGCGCCTACAACACCCCCGCGTACGGCAACAGCAGCAACAGCATGAGCAACAACAGTACCATGGCCAGCAGCAGCAGCGGCCCCGCCAATGTCCCTTACACGGGGCGGCAGTCTGTCCCGGCAACGCCTGCGCCGCCGAAGACAACGCGCAGCGCATCGGTGCCGTCAACGCCGCTGCACCACGCGCTGCACTCGACGGAGCCCCTGCCCTCGTTTGGCGACGGCGACCTCCCCATCCCCGGCGGCGCAAACAGAACCGCCGCAGACGTGCTTGCTGCCCTCGCCCGCGTGGAGTCGGAGACAGACGACCCAGCGAGCGGCCACCATGGGCATCAGGGCCACCCCACGCACGGCCGCGGCGCGCACCCCATGCCCACGGGTGCTGCGCCTTACCCGCGCGGCACTGGCAGCGGTACGGGCACGGCAGGCAGTGGGCCAGGCAGCCACCCCCACCGCCACGGCGGCGCACAGGGTGCCGCAGCGTACACGCCAGCGCCATACGTGTACCGGTACTGGCAGTCGTCGCACCACCAGACGTACTTTGGGTACCTGAGCTCGCTCAACCGCTCGCGCGGGGCGAGTGCGGCGGCAGCGCAGCGACGCAGGCGGCGTGGGGAGTACTCGTGCCAGGGGGTGCAGGAGAACCAGGCGTCACTGGAGATGTACCTCAAGTCACTGCACATGAAGGTGTCGCTACAGCAGTACCGGCTGTTCCAGCTGCGCCACGCCGCCGACAAGTCCCAGGACTACAAACCTTACCCACTCAACGCCTCCCTTCGCGAGCTCAAGGAACACACAAAGCACATGGTTCGTCGTCGTCGTCGTCGTCGTTGTTGCTGTTGTTCAAGTTGTTGTTGTTGTTTAAGTTGTTGTTGTTGTTTAAGTTGTTGTTTAAGTTGTTGTTTAAGTTGTTGTTTAAGTTGTTGTTGTTGTTGTTGTTGTTGTTGTTGTTGTTGTTGTTGTTGTTGTTGTTGTTGTTGTTGTTGTTGTTGTTGTTGTTGTTGTTGGTGCTGGTGGTGGTGTTGTTGGTGCTGGTGTTGTTGTTGGTGTTGACTGCTCATGTATGTACATGTGTATGTGCAGGCTCTCTAGCTCTCACTCCCACGTACGCACACTCTCGCTTACTCCCACGTACACACACACGCGCTCTCTCTCTCTCTCCTGTCTCTCTCACATTGCCGCATGTCGTCACTACAAACGTCCACTCACGATCACGCCCCTGCGCCATTGCCCACCGATTTTGCCACGGCCGCAGGAGCTGAGCAAGCTTGACGCTGCCGCCACCAGCAGCAGAAGCAGCGCCAGCAGCAAGGACAAGGATAAGGACAAAGACAAGGAAAAGTCGCAACGCACAGCGGCGGCTGCGCTGAAGAGTGCACGGCGGTACCGGCAGTCGATGGTGTACTTGGACGAGGCGGACCCCGAAGTCACAGATGACAGCGACAGCGAGGCCGAGGAGCTGCTCTCCTTTGAGGAGACGGCGTGGAAGTATGACAGCGCCGACGTGAGCTACCGCATGCGCTGGCTCGCCCTCAAGCTGGGCGAGACAAAGAAGCTGCTGGCAGAGTGCAACGACGCGCTGCGCAAGGCAGCAAGGCAGAAGCGGCGCCGAAAACGGGCGACTGCCCTGGCTGCTGCCGCCGCTGCCACCGCCACGCCATCGTCATCGTTGGCGTCCTCTGTGCCAGCACGCTCCGGCACCGTCATCAGTCACAGCCCGTACACGGCCAGCCTGTCCACGGCCAGACCCGCCGGCAGCGCACACAGGCCGCCCCTTGCAGCCACCAGCACCACCACGACCACGACCACAACCACAACCACACCTTCCACGACAACAGCCGTTGTCACGACCACGCAACCGCCCAGCCAGCAGCAGCAACAGCAACAGCAACAACAACAGCAACAACAGCAGAAGCAGAAGCCGAGCCAGCAGTCACAGGAAACGTCCAAGCTGGAGAGTGCTGGGTGCCGTCGGTGCACGCCGCGTGACCATGAGCCGGCACCCACCCTGGTCAACCCCGGGCCATTTGGCCACATCACCAGCAACCCTGCGCGTGCAAAGACAGTGCCAGATGTGTCCATTGAGGGCGTGCGCGCGTTCTCCGTATGCACGGACCGCTCGTTCCACCCTGTGCTGTCGTTTATCCGGGATGCCTCGTACCACGTGCTGCGCCACGTCGACCGCGTGCGCAAGAAACTCATCAAGAACAAGCCCCACCTCGCCACCAGCGACCTCAAGCCCCTGCGCCGGAAGCCGCGCCCGTCGCTCACCGCCGGCCTCTTTGGCGGGCACAACCCGCTGCACAGCAAGCCATCGGTACTGGCAGCGGCTGCCCCCTCATTGTCGTCGTCGTCGTCATCATCATCAACGCCATCGTCAACGCTGCCCACGCCTGGGTCTTCGAGCACAATGCGGCATGGCGTGTACAGCTTGCCCGCCACCGCCCGCTCGTCGCCCTCCCACAGCAACAGCGGCGGCAGCGGCGGTGGAACCAAGGGCAGCTCATCGTCGTCTGCAGGCACCGGCAGCAAGTCGAGCAAGGGTGCCAGCAGCAAGAACGCGGGCAGTGGAGCCAGCAGCGGAAACGGGAAGACGAAACGACGGTCCCGTGCCCTCTTCTCGTCCACGTCGTCGTCGTCCGCAGCAGCAGCAGGGAATGGCGGCGGGTCTGCAAGCGCGCCTGCAACGCCACGCAAGACGAGCGGCAGCGGCGCAGCGCGCAGTCGGCTCTCCTCACGCTCGTCCACAGCCAACACGTCCGCAACCAACACGCCAAACGCGAAGCGCAGCAGCGCCTCTGCTGGTACAACTGCAAAGGCTGGCCCGACATCGCAACAGAAGCGGCGTGGATCCGCTGATGGCGCGGGACAGCCAGCAACGAAACGCAGCAAGCAGCAGCAACAGGGAGGTGCAAGCGGTGGCGTGGCTGGCGGCGTGGCGACAGCTGGGAATGGCAGCAACAAGGCAGCAGGGAAGGCAGGGGTGTCTGGGGCGTCGTCACTGTCGTCATCAGCGCCGCTGCTGCGACCAACACACCTGTCGCAGTCATCGTCATCATCGTCGTCGTCGTCGTCAGCTGTCGCATCCGCACTGCCTTCACCGCGTGTTGCAACAACAGTGTCGCCCACAACCACAACAGCCAAGGGCACATCGTGGCAATAACGGCGACAGTGACGCAAAGACAGCGGTTGCGTTTTGCTGCTGTCGTCGTTTGCGGCGGCGAACAAGGGTTGCTGCCACGGTGGAAACCAGAGTAGCAAGCACGCCTCTGTCCCCTTGGCTGCATCTGTCGTGGTGGTGGAGTCCTTTATCGTCCATTTCAGGGCCGCTTGCCTTCTCTTACCTCGTTCTCTCGCCTTTCAGGTGTTTCTTTCGCTCAGCAAATGTGCTTGCTGACCTTTGTAATTGGATTCGTGGATGCTGCCTCTGTTGTCCCTATTTGTTGGTTGGGCTGACGCTATGTGCCCCCTTCACCATCATCGTCGTCATCTTTGTCATCAGACGTGAGATAGGAGTGCTTTAACTGCAGGTTTGACTTTGATGCGTCACCCCCCACTGTTGTTGCTGTTAATTTGTCGTCTCTCTAACTGGCACACGTATGGTATGTTAACTGTGAACTTGTGTTTGTGATTGTGTGGTTGTGGTTATGTGTTGTGGTTGTGGTTGTGGTTATGTTGTGTGGTTGTGGTTATGTGTTGTGTAGACGCGCGTATCGTTGAACGAGCGCTGGTGGTGTGTGGTGTGGAGCTGGTGCTTCACCCTGCGCTGCCGCCACTCTTTCCCCCTGTTCCCATTTCCTTTCCCTTCCTTCCTCCTTTTTGCCCTGACCATGGTCGTATTTGTTCTGTGTTTAGGTTTCTTTACTCCTGCTGTGGTGGCAAGGTGGTGTGTGCTGCGTTTGCACGGTTGTGCATGGTTGTGCATGGTTGTGCAGACGCTGGTGCGCAAAACAAGCAACACACCCACATGGTGCTGTGTCTTGTCGCTGGGTCTTGCTGCACTGTTCTCGTGCTATTGGTGGTTCTTGGTTGTTTGCCTTCCGACCCCCCTCCACACCCTACGACCAGCATCCCCTGTCCCTCCTCATTGAACCATCATCCATCATCAGCATTGGGAGAGAAGTGCGCGCAGGGGGGGGGGGGGTAACTGTTGAGGTTGTGGACAGGAGTTGTGTGTGAGGAGAGTGCGATGTGAAATGACACTGACATGACGACAGACACACAAACACACCAATAATCAGCAGCACAGCAGCAAGAAGCAAGAAGGCAAATCCACACGAACACAACACGGACGATTATGGAGGCAACGACGACTGAAGGAGGCGGTGAGGCTGGTGCTTGCTGTGGCAGTGGATGTGTGTGTGTGTGCGTGTGTGCGTGTGTGTGTGCGTGCGTGTGTGTATCAGTGTTTCAGATGGTAAGAGTACTGCATATATGATAACGATAGTCGTAGCCGAGCTTGTGTACTGTCGT